TGTGAATTTTTGTTAGATTTATCCTGATATAAACTTTTAATATTTAGTACAGTATATTAAAATTTTACAATATTTGGTAAATAGTATTATAGATATGAATAATATAAATGAAAATTTTTCTAAAAAAAATAATAAATATGAATGGTAAAATTAAAATAATCTCAACTTTCACGTATTCGTTTTAAATAATTCCAACTTTGAATTATTTAAAATACGCAGCTTTGAATGATTTAAAATGAATACGTGAAAGTTGAGACTAGATATTGCTTAATAAACATAAAAATTTAAAGGTTGCAATAAAAAAAATTAAAAGAAAAAAAAAACCCGAAGTACTGTATTAGATTTGCGTTGTTTTCACTGTAAGTTGCATAGTTTTCTTTTCTTTTGTTCTATAAGTCAATTTCACGTGTTCTATGCTTAATACTACATACTATTGTTTTTTGACGTAAGTTAATACTATTCAATTGGGTTGTCTTCCTACTTCAACTAGTTCAAAAGTTCAAAACTTGTGCTATGTACGGTTTTACAATAATATTTCATTATTTATTTATTAGAAATTGTACAAAACGAAATTATTGTAAGTAAAAAAAAAAACACATTTAAAAAAAAAGGTACAATTATAAGCATTGTTATATACCATAAGATTAAGGGTAATGCAATATGTAGACTTTAGGGCTACAAATAAACGTTAAATACCTTTCCTTATTTGTACTCCGTATTAGTTTATGAATGCATGACAAAATCACGTGCAAATTAGCGTAATTAATAAATATATTTCATAATACTTTCCACCATTAGCTATATATCAATAATATTTTAGTATTCATAGTATGAAAATATACTATTGTTCGTATTTAAAAAGTAATCATTGTTCATGTAATAATAATAATAATAATAATAATAATAATTCTCTTAATAATTCTCTCGTTTTAGGCGATTAGGGCTGGGTTGGGTTGGGTTCCACGTCATTTTCCGGCGTATTTTCCGGCGGCTTCAGTGTCTCGGTGGCTGTGCCTTCAGGTCCGGTGGTTTCAGGCGTCTTAGGTGCTTCTTTTTGGGCGAATTCCGGGTGGAATCGGGCTCCTCTAGTGCAGTCCTCGAGGGTGGTTTTCCGTTGGTTTTCCAAGGCAGATTGGCTGCGTTAGTGCTCAGGTTTTCCGGCTCCGATCTCGGGTTATTTTTAGGCTTCATCTGGAGGTGTTTCGGGCGTGTTTCTGATCGAGGTTCTGGTCGTTGTTCATGCAGTTTTTTGCTCGTGGTGTTCTGCTTTGTTTTCAGCGTGATTTTGGTAGGTTTTTCGGTTGTTTGTTCTTGCTGTTTTAAGGGTTGTTTGGGTCCTTTTTCTGTTGCGGTTTCTGGGCAGTTTCTGGGTGCTGTGTTGTTGCATTTTCTGGGGGTTTTCTGATGCATTTTCTGGTTGTTTTTAGTGCAGTTTTGCGGGTTGTTTTCGGTGCAGTTTTGGAGTCCATTTGGTGCTGTTTTTAGTGCTGTCTTGGTGTCCAATTGCTGCTGTTTTGGGTGCAGTTTTGGTGTGGTTTTGGTGCAGTTTTGGTGTGCATTTGTTGCTGTTTTGGGTGCAGTTTTGGTGTTAAATGGGTGCTGTTTTGGGACGTTTTTAGTGCAGTTTTGGGTGCAGTTTTGGGTGCATTTGTTGCTGTATTTGTTGCTGTTTTGGGTGCAGTTTGGGGTGCTATTTTCGGTGCAGTTTGCGTTGTGTTGTGTTGCGGTTCTCTTGTGGAAAGTTGTGGTTGATATTATGCCTCCTTCTGTTCTCTTTCATTGCTCGTTTGTGGGTCTTAATGGGTGTCAAGATGGAAGGGGTAATGGGATCACTAAAACCTCTTTGATCACTCATCTTCGTGACCGTCATTGTTGTGAAGATGCGCGGGATTTGACCCGACACTCTCTTACTTCGGATTTGGCTATTTTCTTGGAGGCCGAGACGACCTTCCGTCGTATGGGCATTTGGCTTTGTGGGGAGTGTTTCAAGACGCATTCTCTTCGTATGAAGTGTCGGCATGGTCATGGTTCAGATGATTTTGTGGCCCCTCCTGACTTGGGAGATGGTGTTGTTCGGTTTGTTCTTTTCGGTTTTCCTAAACCGCATGTTCCTTCGGTGGTATCTCCTGGAGGGCCTCTTGAGCCTCATTTTGCTTTTGATGTTGCTCTTCTTGATAGTTTGCTATCTAAGCGGTTTCGTTCAGTGAAATCTATCCCTCCTAAGTGTCGCTTGGGTTTTTCTTGGGTTCTCAAAGGGGCCCTTGATAAGGTGATTGGCAAGCCTGATGACATCTCTTGTTGGGTTCAATTGCTTGTGTTGCCTCTCTGTGTCCTTAAAACCTTTTCCCCAAGGAGTAGTCACGAGTGTTCTTCGGGTGTCAGGCGTCAGCGACAGGAAGAGGGTATCACCTCTGCTATTCGTTCTTGGTGTGAGCCTGGTGGTTCTGTGCAGCTTGTGCGTGACACGTTGGCTGATGTGTCTCCACCTTTGTTGGATGCTGATGAGGACCATGATTTGTCTGAGCGTAATATTAAGCAGTGTAAGAGAAAGATTTTTGACGGACATTACACTGCTGCGGTTAGGGTTCTTTCGTCTTCTGGTCTTGCCCCTTACAATGACGCTACTCATGCAGATTTACAAGCTAAGCACCCTTCCTTTCCGGCTCCTATCTTCCCGGATATTCCCGTTGATCAGCACCTTATTGCTACTCCTGCTGTTGTTTTGGATCAGATTAGGGGTTTTCCGCGAGGTACGTCATGCGGTAGAGACGGCTTGCGTGCTCAACACCTTATGGATTGTTTGAGTGGTGCTGCAGTTGCTATTTCGGAGGAGTTGGTGGACTCTATTACGCAAGTGGTTAATCTTTTTCTCGCTGGGAAATGTCCTGCTGTGTTGGGAGAATACATTGCTAGTGCTCCTTTTACGCCACTTGTCAAGCCTGGTGGTGGTATTCGGCCTATTGTTGTGGGTACTGTTTGGAGGCGTCTGGTTTCAAAGGTTGGTGCTGCTTTGATTGGTCCGCGTCTGGGAAGTTATCTAGGAGGTCTTCAATTTGGTGTTGGGGTGCCGGCGGGTGGTGAGGCTATTCTTCATGCAGTTAATCGTTTGGTTGAGGCGCGTGGTGGTGATGTTGGCCTCTCCATGTTGTTAGTGGATTTCCAGAATGCCTTTAATTTGGTAGACCGGTCGGCTTTATTGCGTGAGGTTCGTCTCCGTTGTCCTTCTCTCTCTCGTTGGGTTAAATTCTGTTACTCTACTCCAGCCAAGTTGTTTTACGGGGAGCATATGTTATGGTCATGTCAGGGGGTGCAACAAGGTGATCTTCTAGGTCCTTTGCTTTTTGCTTTGGTTCTTCACCCGTTAGTGTGCCAAATCAGGGATTCTTTTGACTTATGTTTGCAAGCTTGGTATTTAGATGACGGTACTATTATTGGTGATACCTTAGTGGTAGGGAAAGTTTTGGAGTTGATTTTGGCGGAGGGACCTCGTCTCGGACTCCATGTCAACGTTGAGAAAACGGAAGTATTCTGGCCCTTGGAGGACCCTCGTAGCCGTCTCGTCGGTGTCTTTCCTCCAAATATTGGTCGTCCTTTGCATGGTGTTAAGTTGCTGGGTGGTCCTGTCAGTGCTGATTCCTCTTTCTGTGGTGAGCTTGTTTCGCAGAGATTGTCGAAGACCATTGTGCTAATGGATGTTGTTGCTAAGCTCGATGATCCCCAATGTGAGTTGTTACTTCTCCGTGCGTGTACAGGGGTTTCAAAACTCTACTTTGCTATGCGCACTTGTCCTCCTCGTCTTTTTAAAACGGCACAGGTTTCATTTGACGTGGCCCTTCGAGCTTCTTTAGAGCGTATTGTAACTGCTTCGGGGCCTGGTTTTGGTGATTGGCAATGGCGACTTGCCACCATACCTTTTTCTTATGGTGGTTTGGGTGTATATTCGGCGGGTGATGTTCGGCATTACGCTTTCCTTGCGTCGCGTCTCCAGTCTTCTGGTCTTCAGGCTACGCTTCTTCGCGATTCTGGTATTGTTGGTCCGGGACCGGCCTTTGATGGTGCTCTTAGTCTTTTTAACAGGACTGTGGAGACTGACCTTTTGAGTAACCCTAGTGAGATCACTGCCCCCAGACTCATGAAAAAATTGGCAGATATATATTTCACGAAGGTCACTTCATCTGTGGATTCCACTTTTTCCTTATCTCCGCGTCAGGTTGCCTTATGGAAGTCCCAACAGGGGAATCACTCTTCGGCCTGGTTGCGAACGGTCCCGATATCGGGTTTGGGTCAGACTATGAATGGTAAGACTTACTGTTGTGTTCTTTGCTATCGATTGGGTGTTCCATTGTTCTCCGTTTCAACACCGTGTTCTACTTGCTCAAGGGTTTTTGATGGAGATATTTATGGGGATCATGCAGTATCTTGTGCTGGGATAGTAGGTATTAAACATCGGCACAACGTTGTTCGTGACACCCTTGTTGATATTTGTTTTCGGTCTGGGATTTCTGCTCGAAAGGAGGTCAACGTTGGGTTGACAGGTGGGAACGAGGGGGCGCTACGACCAGCAGATGTGTTGCTTTATTCCTGGGATAGAGGACGTGATGTATGTGTCGACTTGACGGGGTCTTCACTTTTGACACATTCGGGGTTGTCTAACTTCGTTCCTGGTCGTGTTGTGTCGGCGGCGGCTCAGCGGAAGCAGGACAAGTATGGGGCACGTTGCAGGGCTAATGGCTATGGTTTTCTTCCTTTCTCCTTTTCTTCATTAGGGGAATTAGACAAGGATGCTATTGCGTTGCTCAAGCGGGTTCAGGCGTTCGCTAAAACTCAGGATATTGGTGCTCGTGCAGCTGCTCACATCTTCAGTAGGATCGGGTTCGCTATAGCTAGAGGGGTAGGAGCCCAGATTGTATCTCGGCTCCCTACCAATTTCTTGTAAATTGATTGAATTTGTAGGTTTTTTTTAAGGGTTTTTTCATTTTTACCACCTTCAAATAATGACTTTGTCGAATTTACCACCTCCAAAAAAAAAAACATTTACTTTACCACCTCATAAAAAAATTAAACATCAGTTTTACCACCTCATCTGAGCTCAGGTGACGGAAAACGCTTGTGGGGCCCAGCATAACGGCTAGTTTTTGATTTTTTCCCAAATTTCTCTCGATTTCCCTTTTACTTAAACCTAGTTCTTCATTTGTACACCAAATTCTTGCAGATTGGAGATTAATTTTTGCGATTTTCTTCACAAATCAGTATTTTTGGGCAACCTTAACAATCCCAAACCCTCTAATTATCAAACAATCAATTGAACTCCTCGACAACAAGCATCAAAAAGGTAAGCCATTGTTGTTAATTCTCTAGCAATTTTCGTGATTTCTGTTGTAATTTTTTGGCAATTCGTTGCGTGATTATGTTGCATTTGCTAAGAGTAATTGAAATTGGGCGTTTTGTGAGGTCAATTAAACCCCAATTTGAATTAAAATACTTAGGGTTCATGTAAGATTAAATTAGATTGGGGGTTTTTGTTATGTGAATTGGCTACTGAAATTAGGGTTATATTATGGTGATTGTGTTCAAATACAATTAATTTCATTCTTGTTCTTACTGAATTTCAGAAGGGAATGTCTTCAGTTAGCATGTCACCCTCAAAGGAGAAAAAATGCCAATGTGGAGTTCCAATGTCTAGGCTGACTGCTTGGACTAGGGAGAACCCAGGACGCAAGTTTAGGACCTGCAAATTCTATGATCCTGTGACTGAGTTAAGGGGGTGTAAAGCTTTTGAGTGGGTGGATCAACCAGATGGAACACCTTGGAAAACAGAGGTGATTAACAACTTGCTGCTGGACAAGAAACTAATGAAGGGAGAGCTGAATGACATGAAGAGGGAAGTTGATGATGTTAGTGGACAAAGGAGGTGCTTGCTCAATGAGATTGTCAGCTTGAAGATGAAATGCAAAGCTCTTAGCTCAGACAGGAAGAAGATGATCAAGGAAGTGCATGGCAGCAATGCAACAACAAAGAAAATGCTCACAGTACATGCTATTGTTGTGTTTTGTTGTTTTGGTTTGGTACTGGCTATGTATTTTAGACCTTAGGTTCATTTAGGAATGCTTAGAAACAAAAAAAAATCCCCAACTTATGTTGTGTTTTGTTGAATTATTATGTGTGGATGTTGGGATGACATTTCTTGTACTACTTTTAACAAAATCAATGAGAAATGGAACTTTTTGGTAGAAACATATCACAATTCGTATTAGTACTTGCAACACAATGTTTGAAATTGTTTTACATTGGCTGAGACAAAAGTTAAGGCACCTTTGTGCAAAATCATTGTTCAACTACCATTGTTCAACTACCAAATAAACTTGGTTGTCTATTACAAAATACTAATGAGTAGACCTAGGGTCACAGTTGATTGAGATCCTTGTCCTTCTTGCTTGTCATTACATGAAGCTTGGACCTGGTCTGTATTTTGACTTTGGGAGGAGTAGTTGTTGGCACTCTTGTGGGCTGACTCAGGCTCCTGTTGCTCCTGGTAACAGGCTGAGTTGGCAAAGGCTCTGTTCTTGTTGCAGGCTGGCTTGACACAGCAGTTGCAGGTGCAGCATTACTTGACCCAGCATGTGCTGTTGTTGGAGGCTGATATTGTGGCAACTTCAGTGCAGCCTGCAATCACAGTATGACAAGACTCAGAAACAAAGCCACTAAATACACTCAAGTCACAAAATACACAAAATACATGTCTTGCTGCTTTCTCTTCACTTTTCTTTCTCTGTTCCTTAAGCCAAGGAGTCTGCAACTGTGGCCTCCCACCCTTTGGATTTGTTGCAGGTGGGTTAGGCTGTTCTGGTGCTGCTTCAGCCTTGCATGTTTTGGCAAAGTGGCCAAACCCACCACAGTTCTTGCATTGTTTCATCACCTTTGGCTTCTTGCCCTCAGGTGCTGCAGAAGTGCCCTCCCCTGGTTCAAGCTTTCTCTTATTTTCCTTAGGTCTTCCTGGCTGCACTTTCAGCATAGGTGGCAAAGGCTGTCTGAGCTTGACCTTTTCCCAATTCTTAGGGCCAGGCATTGGCTGTATTGGGTTCTCATATGCAGCCAAGTATGTCACCCTATAGTAATGTGGGTGCACATACAACTCAGGATCATCCCTTTTGTCCATTATGCAAGCAAATGCATGGACACAAGGTATTCCTGTCAACTCCCATCTATAACAAGTGCATTTTCTCTCTTGCAGATCCACAATGCACTGATCATCCTTGTATTTCACCTCATAAATTTCATCCCTTGAAGCTGTAACCTCACATGTCATGGCATACTTCTCCAACCCATCAAAGACTTTGTTGACAAATGGGGTTAGTAAACCTTCCCAAGACTTTGCTGCCTCCCATTTGTCATTACTCCTCTTCATCATATATCTTCTAAGCCATTGCATTTGAGTTAGAATAGGCTTGTCTCTGGCATCTCTAATCACTGCATTAAATGTCTCACACATGTTGTTTAACAACATGTTAGACTTGCAGTTTGTAGAGAAAGCATGCCTTGACCAGTGCTGGGGGTCAATGTTTGACAACCACTGGTATGCTTCTTCATCCAAAAAATTGATACTTTCCATAGCAACTTCAAACTCAAACTGATACAACCACACACATGACAACCATTCAACACAACATAGACACATGGCATACAGTTTTCACAAAATAGAAATACATGTAAATATGTGCAAAACTAAATATTCCTAGCATACATTATAGTTCACCATAAAACTGACATAAAAGAACCTAAATAGAAGCTTACCAGAGTGCTTGCCCTAGCAGCAGCCCAGAACAATTCCTTGAAAGTTGCACCATGAAATTTCAGTTTGAAATTTGACCAAATATGCCTCACACAAAATCTGAGCTCAGCTTTGGGGGCCACATCTGCAAATGCTTCTATGAGACCCTACACACAAGGCAAAACTAACAAGTTAGTGTACAGAAAATTCAAATAAAGCAAAGTAATTTAAGCACAAACACAACCCACTTACTTTCTGTCTGTCAGACATAAAAGTCAAGCCATCTCCTTGGTCATACACACAAAGTGCCTTGAGCAAGCTCTCCAGAAACCAGCACCAGCTGTCCTTGTTCTCAATTTCTGCAGTTGCCCAAGCAATTGGGAAGATGGAATTATTGCCATCTTTTCCAACTGCAACCAAGATCTGCCCAGGGTATGCCCCTTTTAGATGGCACCCATCCACCCCAATTACTGGTCTGCAACCAGAAATGAATCCATCCCTAAGTGCAGCTAAGCACACAAACATCCTCATAAAAATTGGTCTTTCAATTTGATTAATATCATCCACCACCACATTACACTCACTCCCTGGGTTCCATTTCAGCAGTGCCTTCCCATAGTCCCAAACCTTTGAGTATTGCTCTGATGAAGAGCCATATATTATAAGCTTTGCCCTGCTTCTAGCCAACCAAGCCTTGGAGTATGTAATTTTGATCCCCAAGTCATTCAAGGCCCTGTCCTGAATCTGTTTAATCTTCCATCTGGGGTTGCCCCTGAACTCCTCCAAGTACCTGTCAGCAAGGAACTCTGTTGTCACCTTGTTGTTCATTTTACTCCTAACACACCTATGCTTCAGCCTTAGTGTCTTAATTTGCCAAGCCTCTGATTTCACAAGCCTTGTTGCATAAAACTTGAACCTACACCTAACACCCTTACTACATGTACACTTCACTATCCTACAACTGTTCTTGTTATACACACACTTGCATTTCCTTTTGCAATATGCTGTTAGCCTCTTTGAATCATTGTGAAGAAGGTAATACTCATACCTATTTTCAATTGCATGTTGTCTCAAAGCTTTTCTCATTGTTTGCACATCACTGAACCTTTGACCAACTACAAATTTGATAGCCCTTTCAAAGTCTGTCTCAGGGTTAAACCAAGTAACACTACCCTGATCATCATCTGAATCACCTTCCACACTCTTTAGCTCATCAGAATCACAAGTTTCCTCCTCTTCAACCCTCACTTCAATTTTCTGTAGATTTCTTTCTATGTCAAACCCTGTGTCCTCATCATCACTTTGATCCCCTCCTTCAGTAACTCCCCTCAAACTGCCTTTCACCTCACTGTTAATATGGTCTAAATTTTTTTTCAACCACTGTTCATCATCATCAAAGTATAAGTCCTCCTCTCCCTCATCAACTTCTAACTCAAAATCACTCAACTCAGAATCAGAAGACTCTGTATCACCATCCTCATCACTAAACACATCACTGTCATCCCTTAAGCTCCTCACTCTTTCTTTTATTTTTCTCACTAAATTAGCAAAATTTCCAGTCTCATCCCCAACCTTAGCCTTACCCTTATCTGCAGCAGTGAGTTTACCCTTCCCTTTATGTGTATTAGCATTCACTTTCTCTGCCCTAGGAAGCCTCTCCTCAGCCTCTCTGTCATGTATAACAATGCCTTTTAACCTAGGGCTTCTCCTAAATGGCTCTTCTTCAGTGGGCTTACTAAGTTCTGGGCTGGGTTTGTATACTTTAGGCCCACCAAACCTCTTTTTCAGTTCCTTTCTTTGTTCAGGGGTTAGCTCATTCCCAGATATACATTTGAAGGGTGTTTTGTTAGTCCCTTCAATTGGCTCATGACTGGTAACATACATCTCACATGCCCCCTCTTTGTTCACCGACTCTAGGAAACCATTCACCTCACCATCAACAAGCTCCCTTTTACCATTCACCCAAGACTTGCCCTTTTGTTTATACCAGCAACTAAACCCCCTAGGAACCTTCACATTCACATACACAAACCCATGTATAGCTGCTTGCCTCAAAAAGTGTACATCTATCTTATTTTTTTCCACCTTTCTCATCCAATAAACCCACCCACCATCCCAAGTTAACACCCTCCTATTTTTACCAGCTAAAGAAGGTATAAAGGCACCCTTTACTGTAATTTTTAAGTCCACTGTGTCCATTCTGTAACAACACCAACAAAAGCACACACAACAATAACCAATTTCAGTAATTACAGTAAACAACAAAAACCAATTCACCAATTACAGCAAGTAAAAGCAATTCACATTGACTATGCACTAAAGTAACAGTAACCAAGTAAATCTAATTAACTAATTATTTAACAAATGCACACTCTAATTCAGTCAAAGATTCGCATGATTAGGGTTTATAATACTTTAATTCACAGATTCCCCAAAAAGGCATACTTTACCCCAATTGACAACCATAAATCCAACGAAATGTACTAATAAAGGGTTTAAAGTACCTCTTGTAGTCAGGAATCTCGATTTCTGTCAGCAAATTACCAAGCTTTTGGTCCCCTCACCCTGTGGAAGATGACAAGAGAAGCTGATGTGTTGCAATTTTGTGGTTCCAGCTCGATTTCAACCACCCAAATTGATCTAGGGTTTCAGTTTTTACAGAGAGAAAGAGAAAATTCAAAGGAGAGAGAAGCAGTTACAGTGAGAATCAAGAAAAATCAAAGGAGAGAGAGACGAAAATTGATGAGGAAGTGAGAAATTTGGTGAGACATTGATTATGGAAGGTGGAAGGTGAGAAAAGGAGGAGACAGAGGGAAATCGATTTTAAAAGAATTAAATTGGAGGGAAGTGACAGTTAACTGGGCCCCACAAGCGTTTTCCGTCACCTGAGTTCAGATGAGGTGGTAAAACTGATGTTTAATTTTTTTATGAGGTGGTAAAGTAAATGTTTTTTTTTTTGGAGGTGGTAAATTCGACAAAGTCATTATTTGAAGGTGGTAAAAATGAAAATACCCTTTTTTTAATTTTAATAATAATAATAATAATAATAATAATAATAATAATAATAATAATATATTAAGAAGTATTTTATAATATTACGAAACATTATTTCTTAATCTTTAGTCTTTACCCCTATATATTTTTTTTATTTAAATTATTATTGATGGGCTTCATTCCCTAAATATAAGGCCAAAACTTCTCTCTAAGATATACTACGTAGTACGGAGTAATAAACTTCTTTATAAAAAAAAGTTAAGTTTTTTATTTTTTTATTTTTTTATTTATTTTTTATAATTTTTAAAGGATGGTACTATGGTAGTAATCATGAGAGGGGTATTTTGAGAAAGCGTAATTTTTCAACCAATAGCCCCTTTCACTTTATATATTTTGTGAAAGCGAAATTTATCAACCAAGATTCCTACTTCAAGAATAATCATGATATTCTAAATTTGTGTTCATATCAATTGGCTCCCACTTAAGGTTTGAGGTGGCGGAGTAGTGACATTAATCACATCACTCTCTAATCCCAACCTTGCTCGTATCCTTGAAGCTAAGTCTAGAGATCAAACCTTA